CTAGGGAACATAGTTACATAGAAGAATGAGTATAGAATTTAAGAAGTTAAGGTGACCTGAGTTGTGGTGACTTGAATTATGGGAACAGGAATGTTAGTTTAAATTTTAATATGCCAATTGTGTATACATGTACTTTTCCTAATATTGATTAACTTGTGATTGATTGTATGACATATGAATTATGCACTTTTTCCATGTTAAACCTGTATATAAGTTTGAGTATAATTATAATAAAGTTGACACATTCCAGCAAAAGGCTTGATGTGTTCCTTCCGTTCCCACTTGAGGCATATGGCATAACGGTGTGGCTTTGCCCCTCCGCTCCGGGGTTTATACGGAGACATCTTAGCTAAGCCTTCTCTCTTTCTATCTCTTCTCATTCTCTTACTGTCTCTGTAAAGTGACCATTTGTTGTGCTGGTAACAGCAAGGACTGAGGGTGACAGGCACAGACACTATGAATTAAGAGAGAGGAAAAAGTATAAATCTCTTACAATAGCCCATTTTCCCTAGGATGTCTGTGTCCTTACCCCTCAGCTACCTGGTCAACGAGGGCTAGTTTGAGACAGGTTTTTGTCCTTGCAACCCAGCAAGCCCTGAAGAGAACAGTTACATTACAATTACATCACTAATTGTATGACCATGGGTAATTTGTTTAAACACTGAGCCTGTTTCCTCACCTGTAAAATGAACATAATAACAGCTGCTGTACTTCATACGGTTGCAAAGAGAAATAAAGTCTGTACACTGTGTGTGATGCTGAAAATTTCTCAATAAATGGCAGCTACAGCTATCAAGAACTACAAGTTTATTAATCCCTCTCTGAATAAATACTAATATGCTACAAGGCAGTTTTAGTAAGAACAAAAATGTACACCCCATAACTAATATTCTTAAGGGTAAGCCGATTAATTCAGAACAGGTGCTAACGTTTGAAAATGGAATTTAAAGAAATGAGCAAAACGCAAGCGTATGCTCCTTTCGTGAAGGAGACAAGCAGGAATAAAACACAGCAATAGCTGCTCACTGTGCAGAGAAAAAAAGGAGAAGCAGAAAGATTGGTGACCTACACGAGGTGGGTGGACAGAAAGAACAGGAAAGTTGGAATGGGAAAGAAGACGGGGAGGAGTCAATGACATTTCTCAGCAGAACTTTTTTGTGCTTCAAACTCCTATTTGTGATTTGCATACTCAAAAAATAAGTACACAGACAAAACCAACAACGAAAGGAAAGGAGACCTCCAAACGCAGTATTAACCCCAATGGATCTAAATGCACAGCAAAAGAGGAACACTAGAAGGGAGAGGGAAGTGGAAGGAGTACTGGAAGTCACTACGGAGAGCAGTGTTTGTCACTCAGGAGAACGCCCCTGCGATCCATCCAAGCTGCTGAGTGTACCAACCACACCAAGCCCACCGCGACCCACAGGGCCCCACAGGCAGAGATGACCCACAGCACAGCGTTCCCAAGGCCGGAAGTCCGGACGGAAGCAGACTTCGCCACCTGCCGCCCGTGGAGCGTAGGGGCCTGTGGGTTCAGCCCACGAGCCAGCAGAGCGCCTTCCTCTTCTCTGCGGAATCCGCAGGAGGCTGTGCTACGGCGGTGGAGCGTTTGCCCCTCCAGAGCCACTGGGGCTGTTCCGTTTTCTGGAAACTACAGGAAACTTACTGCGAACCTCGGTGTGACGGTCTTGGGGCGCAAGCACATCCTCATTTCGCCAGGGCAACATTCAGGAATGTCCACGCTGAGCCGTGCGGCCGCTGCGTGTTCCCCTTATGGGGAAATCGCCCTCCAAATCGCCTCCCCGTCGCCGCAGCCATCCACCAACGCCCACCACAGAGCCCCAGAGCAGTAACGCCCGCCCCGGGCCTCCCCAGCCGCCCATCACGAAGACAGCAGCAGGGAGCCCGCTGAACGCCCCGTGGGGCCGTCGGCCCGCGGACACGCCCGCGCCCCCGGCCGAGGCCTGGCTGCAGTCCCAACACACAGCCTCTTCCCATTGCTCTCGTCCCGCCCGCAGCCCAGGAGCGCGGGGCTGGCCGGGGGAACGACGGGGAACCGCCGGCGGCAACGCAGGGGGGCCCTCACCTGGGTCGGCAACTGGAGCTGCGGCCGACGGACCGCGGGGCGGCGGGGCAGGGGCCTTGCTCCGGTCCAGCCGCCCCGGCCGCTTCTCCAGCCGCCGCACCAGCCAGCGCACGGCGATTAGCAACACCGACGCGCCCAGGAGCTCCCAGGCCAGTGCTGTCCACTCGGCCGCCGCCAGCCTCGGCCACAGCATTGCGAGCTCCCGGGCCGCCGCCGCCACCGCCGCCCC